AAACCATCAGGAGCCCTGTAGCACATGCAAGCTATCGGAGCCTTCTATGTGCTCCCCGTCCAGCCAGTTGAATGCATTACAGGGCAAGAACTGGTGCACGATATCCTCACGGTCCGAGGGCTCCTCGTCGGGATGTCCTGTCAGCAGCAGCGAGGACAGCAGCACACAATGTGTCCATGGTAGCGGACTCACTGACTAAATGTGTCCATGGTAGAGGACTCACTGACTCACTCCGCAGCATTTGGCACCGCCTCATTTTTTCCATGACTCGGTTCGATCTGCATGCCGCTTCTTGCAGGAATAGGGGAAAACTTGTCGGGGTCGCGTGTATCCCAAACCAAATAATCTCAAAGGAGGCTGCGTGTAAGCTGTTAGAACGCCATAGTTACTTCGACAGACAGCATACCCGTGGGCCCGACAAGCCTCCTGCTGCGTCTAGCCGCAGCGACTCTTTTTGCCGCCGCGAACTAAGGAATCCTTCCTAGACAGTGTGAAGGCCGTACGCCTCGTCGTCGCTTTGCTTTGCCGACAGGAGGCTGCAGGCTTCCTTTTCACACTGTCACGCACTGCAGCTCTTTGCCGCGCCCTTGCATCTTCCTTGGGGAGCTCAGCCTTCATTTTGGGACCCGAACCATCGACCAACTCTGCACACCAGATACTCCAGTCTTGCGAAGACCATATCGACTGGCGAGTTGCCCGAGCAAGCACCTCCCCATGCTGTACCTGCTTCGTTGTGTGATGGTACAAAGCTCTGTTATGTGACAAGAGCTTGCCCAGCTGCAAGATTTCAAGCTTTTGCTGCAAGCTCACTTGGTGCAGTTTCTGGGTCTCTTTGAAGCATCGGTTGATTTCGTAGTGAAGTGCTTCGTTTGATGTCGTTCCGCTGGGTAGCAATCGCAGCCGCTGAGCAGAGAGAGCATGGCGAATCCGTACATTATTCATGTACCACTCGGCTCTCTCTGGAGCGGTTGCAGAATGCAATAGCTCCCAGACGCGACGATTTGGTCCAGGAGAGACCTTGCGGACTTCGTCCTTATAGACGTTCGTGAGAGCCGCTATAGCCCGAATCCACTCCACACGAGTATAAAATGGCTCATCAAGCTTGATTTCGTCCAGAATTCGCTGGGCCACACCTTCCTTCATGGTTCTATCCTCCAGCTGTCGTCTGAGGCGTTCCTCTTCAGCATTCAGCGGCTGACAGAACCCACCGTCATAGCATCTCCCTAATGATCTGGCGCTGCACTTGGTGTCGACTGCCGCAAACTTGCTGAGTAGTCTGCGGAGAGCTGCGGACCCCTTACTTCGCTTGCGTGAAGTAGAGTATTCCCAGGCCATAGCCAAGTGCACCGTGTCGAGTGACATGCCCTGCAAGTTTGGGCAAATTCTCTTCAGCTCAGAATAGAGCTTGCGCGACGGGTTGTCCGCTGCAACGAAAGCAACTTGCTGCAGCGCAGATGCTGGAAACTCTTCGGCTAGCAGCCGACATGCTGTTTCGGCATCCTCCGATCTGGCGGCCCTCATCAACAGCACTGCACTTGTTCGACCGCGAACAGTGAAAACCTCAGCAGACGACTACGACAATGCCGCTATACCCTGTCATAACGTGCAAAACTCTAAGATAACCACACAGACAGCCAGTTCATCTGAGCGACCCTACGCAGCGACAAGTTCTCTGTGAAGGCAGCCTCTGCACGCTCCTCCGCAGAGCTTTTGATGCGTGCCTGCCCCATGATGGGAAGGCAGCAGCGCATTGTCGCGTCAATGCTGATGCATTGGAACTCCTCACTCGCAATGCATTCTTGAAGCAGATTTTGCCGCAAGTCTCTGATCTGTGGCGAATTGAAAACGTCTTCGATCATGGGCCACCAATCCTTGGCATGACTAGGAAGAAGGCTCGATAAGTCGTTCGCAACGGAGACGTGGAAGGCATTCGCAAGACCGTAAACCTCCGAGACACATATCACGTTTGCAATGCACAGGAACCCTACCTCTCCTAGCCGAGTGCTAGTCTTGGCTACCTGAACTGCTGAACCCTCGCCCCGCATCTGCCTTGGCATTGTTCACTAGCATGTACCGATAAATCGCTTCGGCAAAAGACCTGTCGTAGTACAGATTTCTGACCCGGCGTATCGGCGAATCCACGGTTGTTTTTAAATTCCAATACTCTGGACCATTGCCAGTGTAAACCAGCCGGATGTAGCGGTCGATATCGTTGTTGTTAATTGAAAGAGAGGGAACTATGGTACTGCGTAGAACTTCTGCGCTTCGACGCAAATACGCACATGTAGTCGTCGTGCCCTGCAACATGTCTTGATCATGAAGAGCGATGACTATCTTCAGCTGCTTCGTACCACTAGCACAATACTGCTTCCTGGCAGAATGATACTCGCGAACATGTTTCTTGACCCTGCAACGGTTGTGCCACGACCAGCTGCGAAAAGGACACAAGGGACACCGAACACGGCCATCTGCACCTTGCCGAAGTTGTGTTTGTTGCTTCAAAAGGCTTTCTACTTCTTTCTTCAGATTCTGCAGAAGTATATCACCCACCGTCGTAACACTCTCATCTTCCTCCTGTTCCTGACTTTCAGCATCATCCTGGCCAACTGGCTCATCATGCTGGCGCTCATCCTCAGCATCTTCAGGGAACATGTCCAGCTCCACAATGAAATCCTCACCAGCGGCGGCTTGAAGGTCCAAGAATCTCTCACGCTCTGTTTCATTGAGTGTGAATTTGGGATGCTCATCCTTCGGCGGCAGCGAGGCTGTTACTTTGAAAAGCATGATGTGTCGCTTGTCGCACGCGCTTGACACAGCCTTTAGAAAAGATGCCCTGTCCAGAATGAATTCGGCATTGCCATCTGCCACGACCCACTCTGTGTTAGATCCGGCATCTAGTGCGATGGCATGAGGACGACCTTGTTTTGAGCAGTGCACAACATACTTGCCTTCGATCTCTGCAGAGCTCGTGTCCAGTGGCAGGATGACAGGAGTCATGTGAACTCCAGTGCCTTTCTGTACCTGAGCATAAGTACGGTGTTTTCGTCGACTGAAGTAAAGAGTCTCTTCACTTTCCTTGTCCTCGAGAAAAGCATTGACCTCCGCTACGAAGCCAAGATTATGCAGTGCGGCTGGTATGCAGTTGCCATCTTGCTGAAGTGGAGCGGGCAGGAGGCCTCGCAACGTTCGGCTTCTGCTTGACAAACGCAAGTCTTGCAAGAGATCAGGGTTGCTCTTGGGTCTGATCTCAACTTTGTACCCAGTTATCTCTTGAATATGGGCAGTGCAGACTCTGCAGAAGCCTTCTACATCCTCCCCCACGACAGCTCTTGACACCCTGATACCATCAAAGTGAAGGCTGATGTGCTTCGGCTTTTGCCGGAGAACAAAATTTGTCCAAGCATCCAGAACAATATCTTCCACTGCGCTCCACAAATAGAACAAGCACGACGCATCAGGATGTTCTCTTGATTGATCTTGCATGCATCTTTCATACACCTCCGGCAACAAGGTCACGGCTGTCCATCGACAGAACAGCGAAGCCTTCTGTAATTTGAAGAGGAACTCGTTCCCAACTAACGAAGGCGGCGGAGTCCCGCCATTGAATACCTTGATCATTAGACTCTTCCCGTCCTTCTGACACATCTTGAGTTGCTCTGCAATGATGGCATTCCGTTCCTTCGCACACTGCTCGAGGGTGCAACGAACGCTCTTCCAACTTGGGTGCGTCGGAGATAAGCGGTCCATTATCTGTAGCATCAGCACGAAACAGCAGTTCTCAATGTCCAGATCCACGGTGTCTGGAACGACCCACTTTTGCCAAAGACTGGACACCCTGAGCACACACTCATCGTCCGAATCTAGGTGTAAAAAATGAAGAAGCTGCGTAGTTCAGTACACTTGCTTACTGCTTATATGATGAAAGCTGCGCATGCCAAGCCAAGCGTCTTCTGCGTTGCAAATCCGCAGGCGTACTTCCTGGTTCGTAGAAGTTGGCCAAGTTTCGTCTCGTAACTGACTTGCATGGAAATTTCTCGCATCTCATGGAAAGGGTTCCTGTCAGTTGCATCATGCGAGGCTGCTGCCCTCGAGTCCTTGGCCGAGGACGAAGCCGTTGGAGTCGATGGACCCTTCTTTCGCCTGCGTTTTGCAGCGTTGCAACTCTGCGACCGCACGGTGAGACCAGCCAGACCCTCCAAGTGCTCCAGCAGCGCAATTGCCGAATCCTCCTCGTCTCGCAGCTTCTGCTGTCGCTCACTCCAAGCGGCGATGGCAATCGTTTCCTCAAGGGATTTTTTTCCTTTCTTTTTTGTCAGTCGCAGCAAGAAGGTATTGTAGGCCTGCGACAGAACCTCCACGTTGGCTTCGCGTGTAGCTGCACTACATAAGGCTTCGTAGAAAGTTGCTGCCTCCAAACACTCCGTCAGCGATGTTGCTTCCGACGGAACTACAAGATCTCCAAGCTTCACGAGAGCCTCCTTGACAAAGATTCTGGGGATGAATTGGCCACCTTCTTTGCTGTATCCGCTCAGGCTCTTGATTTCCATGATGAAACGCTTGTCTTGCAACTCTTTCCATACATTCTGCGCTTTGTCGGTGGATACGGCTGCCTTTCCTGCGCCATATCGCGTCCACCATGCCAGGGAAAATTTGCTGATGAGCATTTTGGGGTTCCGATTCTCCATGGCGACTGTCACCATGGAGTCCACTGCCTTACGCAGATCTGAGTCAAGGTCGTCGTCTAACTCGGCGCGGCTTGTCGCTGCGATCTCTGCCTGGGCCAGCGCAGCAGGCTTTTCCGATGCAGCTCTCTCAGGAAGTCCGCAAGCTTTCCTGATCTTCTGTTCTGTCAGACCTGCCTGTGCATATGTCTCGATGAGTCGTCTACAATTCTCTCGAGACTGCGTGAGTTCAAACCCAAGCTGGTGCTGTAAAGAAGCAGCGATGGCTGGACCGCTTTCTAGGAAAGCACGCAGGGTAGGATCCTTCGGGAAGATGCCATCCTTGTGAGCGTCGGGGTATTCTTTCTCCAAGTAATCGGCATCGACGAAGACTGCTAGTGGAATCCAAACCAAGCTTCTTCTGAATATGGAGTTGAAATTCGCCTCGGAGATATTCTTGAATGTCATGAGATCATTCGTCTCGATGCGCTTCCAGCCAACTACCCGCAACATTCGTGTGACGTAACCATATGGCTTGCGTGCAGCCAGGTCATCTGCGCTCACCATCTTTTTGTAGAGATCTTCTCGAAAGGGACGATTGCTCTCTGGCTTCTCTTGTGCAGTGATAATGCAGGCAGAAGAAAACTGCTCCAACTGCTTTCGAAGTTCATCTTCATTATGCCATAGGTTCGGGTCAATGAAGGCATGGTTGTGTCTGTACACGGCGGCCAGATGACTGCTGTATAGACCTTGTCCGGCGCCTCCGCCACTTTCCCCAATAAAGCATCTGTCAATGTTCTCCCCACGCTTGGCGAGGGCGATAGCTGCCTGACAACATTGAAAGAACTCGGAGTTGCACCAAAAGGTTTGTTCGTAGAACTTCTCGAGACGACTGCGTGCACCTTCGAGCACAGGATCGCGAAGGGGATGCGGTATCCGCATGTAGAGATTGTTTGCAGGCGAAGGTAAAGCGAAAGTGCAGAGTTCGTTCGGGCCACGATCGTACAGAATGCAGCAGTCTGCAAAGGCACAGCCAGCCTCACGTTCCGACGGAGTGTCGCACCATTCAACGACCAGACGCAGCAAAGACCTTTCTTCGAGTAGACCTTTCTGCATAGGTCCGCTAATCTTGGAGATCATCTCAGCAATGGCCAGGGGCCACCCGCTGCCGTGTGGCCTTTGCCCATCAGCCTCTTGACGCTCACGACCACCTCTGCTGCGACCAGAGTGCAGAGAGAGCACGGAGCTGTCCATGCATTCGTTGATGTACTCTGGGATGTTGTTGAACTCACGCAGACATGCGTCGATCCCACCTATGACTGCACCGTCAGTCCTCTCCGTGTCCGAGGGTAGCAGTCTGAAGATACCTTCCAAGGCGAGCAGGAACGGCTTGATACGGGTAAAGGTAGACTCAGGCGGAACACCCGACAATGCTTCGAAGGCACCGTGCTCGTGGTACAAGTAGCAGACACCTCCGTGCGATCTCAGGAAATGCCCTCCTTCCATCACCCACAGGAGAGCGACGTGATCCCGAATGAAAAGGTCTGTGTATCTTGTGCGGTAAACCGTCAGAGCTGCAGCAGCGAGACGGACCATTTGATCCGGCCATCCTGCCTGCAGGGAACGAACATACTGGAACAGCTGGTTCGTATGCTGTAGAACTGTTCGCGGCGCCGACCCGGGCTCCACCCCCGGCAAGCCTTCCATGAAGGCACGGCTCGCATCAGCTGCTTTGTGGAAATGAGCGCGGAATAATGTTGCCGTTTGCTGCGCAGCCTCTGTTTGTCTTCGTTTCTTGGTCCCTTCGTGAGCATCGAACAGGACCACGGGCACGGCTTCTTCAGCAGCAGGCTGAGATGTCGTCACGTCAAACTCGACGGCCATTGCCAAAGCAGATTGGCTGTCCACTGCAGCTGAGCCGTCGACACCGGCTGCGGCTTCGTTGCTGAGATCATTGCGTCTCTTCTCCATAACTGCATCGACGAGATCTTGCATGTTCGGCACAATGTCCGTGAAACCATCCGGCAAAAACTGCGGGTGTGCGCAGAACACAACCGTTTCCTTCACCTTGACGGAGTAGTGATTCTCTAGAATCCATTTGTACATGTTGAGCTGTAGACGATAGTGTTGGCCTTGAGCATCTTGCAACTCGCCGAGGGGATGCTTCATGCAGTTCGGGGAAGCATACTTTGACGCTAGCTTTTCGCTTCTCTTCCAATCGATCAAGATCAAGCCATCATCTTCAGGATCTTGCAGAACGAAGTCTATGGAACCTGCAACATCCTCTTCCTTGGCATAGACTGTCCACTCTGTCCTGTAGGCAACGCAATGCTTGTACTTTTTCAAGAAGTTGACTGCCATGGACAGTTCTCGGGACATGGACTTAGGCACGACATGAAAGCCATTGAGCATGTGTTCGAACAAGATGTGCATCCAGGTGCCAGCCTTTGCTGCGCAGTCTCGCTTCGTCTGCCAGTAGTCGAGGATTTCCTGGTCAGACATCGTGACCAAGCTTAGGATTTCTGTCCAAACCTCCGCTAGGCCGTTCTGCGCTCGTAGCAAGTCTGCACATAGGTCTGAAGCATCGGGAGTAGAATCTTGAAGCAACTTCGCAAGACCTTGTGTTTCCGGGCAGTCAGCTCTCTGAAGGAGAAGCAGCAGCGCATCTCGGTTAATATCTGGTCGGATGTACTCCGGCCGCGGCCATCTGGTGCCACATTTCATCTTGATTAGTGCGGCGTCCGCATCAAACTCCTCCGAGAATTGGTGTATGAGACCCGTTACCTCACCGAGACAGTGTTGCTCATGCTTCACTTTTACAGATAAGACTATTCCTTAGGAAGAAAAACCACTCGCCTTGACAGAAGCTCCAATGCGGCCAGGAAGCACTGATGCTGACCGGATTACCGTCGCAGAAGTATCTGTGCCCTTCTGTCTGGAAGCTCAGGCGTGCATCCATCTCCACTTTGTTGGCCTCTCGCAGCGGGGTGCATGGAAGAACCCGGTCGGGACTGTCCTGCTCTGGCTTGCTCGTCATGACGAAAATTGGACCACTGGACGATAACATTCCAAGTGATCTTCCAACGATTTGTGGCAGTGGGTCCGTCCAGCCAGCAGCAAAGAATGACCCTTCTAACCCTTCCTGCGAACTGCCACCACTTTGCTCTTGCCACGCATCAGAACGATCACGCTCCTGCCCTGCTAAGGTCAGATGTACGCGAAGGGCGATCCTCAGAGCCTTGCGGCGCCACCCTTGTGCCTCCTCAGGCGAGCACGTCAGTGGGTGAGGCAAATCTTGAAGCAGTACACCCACGCTGGAACATTGACTTGTTTCCGCATGTAAGTACATGAAGAGCATGTAGTCCATCTCCTGTTCCAGGAAATCAACAATCACTCGTCCACGATACAGAAGCTTCTCCCATCTGCGCTTACTCATGACAGTACGTTGCGTTGGATCCGGTAAGAAAAGCAGTGCTGCTGGATTCACGCGGAAAAGTTCTGCATGCCTGCGAAGCAGCTCCAACACTACTTGAGAGGGCTTGTCACGCGAGTGTGTCGCACAGCCAAGCAGGGTGGCCCGGTGAAAATTGGTTGCAGCGACATAAGGCATTGGGTTGGTGGCTGGACCAAAACCAATGTCGTCGACGATGTCGCATCCCGACGAAGAGCCACCCATATAGTCTGAGAAGTGACCGCCGCAATGAAGGCAGTTTCGCCACGGAGCCGTTCCGACATGGCGCGAGCAGATCCAGGTACAACACTCAGGACACACAGACCACCGTGGTTGCATCAATGTACCAGAATGATTACAAACAGGACACTCGAGCCGTGCGTTCAGTTGGATGAGAGATGGTAGTTCCTGAAGCCAAGCTGCTTCATTTTCTGGCCCTGGCCTTGTAAAAATCCAAATGAAAAGCTTGGAAAGGCAAGGTGCGGTGTCTGGAACATGATCACGAAGCCGAGCAGTTGAAACTCCCTCTCCATTCATGGAAAGGGAAAAGATTCTTTCGTTCCATCGCAAACGATACCGGACTGGCACATTGGGAAGAATCTCTGGCCTGTTTCTCTTGAAGTGCGGCTGTGGAGGAGATCCAGTCAAACCGAAGGAGAAAGTACAGCTCTCTTTAAACAGATTGTCGATGCGACAATAGGAGCGCCGGGTACCGTGGTGTTCGTGAACACCAATGTATACTCCGATAGCTTTTGAAGGCAGGCTCAGGTCAAAAGCAGCACCTCCCATGAGCGGCTGCGAGGAATGAAAACCACCCATAAGGCTGCCCGGCCCTGAGCCTGGTTGTGGCCGCACACCAATAGCGCTCCATTCCACATAGGCATTGCCGGGCACAGTGATAAACATGGCAAGCTGTCGTACGTTCACGATAGTGGCACGTGCTGCGCTGTACATATCACTCATAGCTCGAAGCGTAGGAACATCATGGAACTCAGCGTTGTTCAGAGGGATCACTCGATCCTTCCATTGGTCGTGATTTTGTACTGCGGCATGCATCGTTTTTGACGCTGTTGCCAAGGCCTGCAGATATTGGTAGGAGAAGAAGTAGGAAGGCAAAGAGCCCAAGACCTCCAATGGCAAGGCTCCGCCCGTGTACTCCTCCGTTCGTCGGAGGCGCATTCTCTGCCAGCGATCGTACCAATCAGGGCGAATGTCCCAGAAGCCATCGTCCGAATCAGACTCAAGAGCCCTCTCTTCCTGCTCAACCAGCTGAATGAAGTTCGCGAGAGGTTGCCCGGCTAACAGCATGGCCCGCGTGGGCTGTGGCTGATGCAACGACTCAGTCTCCCACGCCGCTGTTTGCATAAAGTGAACCACATCCTGAGCCGACGTGAGCAACGTCTTGCCTCCGGAGTACTCCATCGTGTCATTAATGTCTACTGTCAAAGACGAAGCAGGATCCTGGTTGATGGTCGAGACTTTGCAGACGAGATCGAACGCAGCAGGGCAGGCAACCAGATAAGAACCCGGAAGAAACTGCTCAAACGCATGTCCCGTTGCAGTCTGTCCGATGAAAAATCGATGCCACATGTGGGTTCTGTTACTGAAATTCACATACGTTGCACCATCCTCATCAGTCCTGGCCGCAACGAAATGATGGTTGTAGGCCAGGACATACTTTCCCGGTTCCTGGAGGAACTGCGTCCATGTTGCCGGCAGCATGCTGTGCCTTGTAGCTTCAGCTGCATGGAGACGTTCTCACACAACAAAATAGAAATCCAACTAAAACACGTGCTTCAACGCAAGGACAGCACAACTATTGAGGTATTCACACCATTTCAATCGGTCGTCGAGTTGCCCAGATGGCTCGAGCCAGGCGTTGCCATCTCGAACCTTGAAAGGTCCATCTCGCGTGTATGACACTTTGTGGCCGAGAGCTCGCAGCGCATCCACCAAACAGCAGTCATGGAAGTGACGGTCATTGTGTGCATCACCTTGGCTTTGTCAGAAACCGTTGCAGCTTCCCACCAACGCCACTACCCAACCTCCAGCCCACATCCCTTCAACCTCACACAGTCTCGCCAGCACACAGCTCAGCTTGAGCTTCTTTCCCGTTCGTGCGCACGCTCCTACAAGGAGCTATGCACATGTCCAGAAGGATCAATCAACATCGCATAGACCAAACTGCAAAGCATATTCTCCTGAGGCAAAACGCGTGGAGGCATGCCTGGCCGTTGAATGCTCCTGCACAGAAACTAAAAGGTAGCTACTAGGCACGGGCGGTAAGCTGCGGTATGACTGCGTCAGGAGCGTCCTTCGGTGCTGCTGACTGCGACAGCCCCTGCTCACGAAGCCATGTCGGCCAGCTCTGACGAAGCCACTTCTCACTGGCATTTCGGTGACGGATCTTCTGCGTCAGCGACTTCACGAAGTTGTCCCCTGACCATAGCTGCATGGCTTGCTGGGTTAGGCTGCAGAATGAACTTATAGCTGTAGCAGAGCGGCAATAGCCGACTTCGCACCACAGTCCCGCCGATCCACGGGCGGTGTGCTTGGAGCCGAAGTGAACGTTGGTCCCTCGCAACAAAGCTCACATTGTGTCGCAACAACACGGGCAGTTGCTGGTCAGCTCAACAGCTCAACCTATCTGAGCTCACTGCAATCCGCGGTGTGCTTTTGCCAATTGTTTTGCGACGCAATGTAAAACTCGGGGTAATCTTCGTCGGTCAAAACTGCAACGTGGCCGAGGCGGTGCCAGATTGGCATCATGAAGTGATCGCCTTGCGTTGCAGGGATTACTCGTGCACTCGTGGCGGCCAATGCTACAACTGTAAAGAGTTACGAGTCGTGATGCGCAGTCAAGACACACCATGTTCGCATTGCCGGCTGGAGCTCTGTGTCTTCTGAGAATGTCCTTAGAGTCACGAGCAGTGCAGTGCTCTAGTGAACATATACTTTGCATCTGAGTCTGCGCTTGTGCGACATGTATGTTCGCTAAGCTAGGTAAGATAAGAAGCACCGCCGCCGAAAACGCTGCCTCTGCAGTGGCAGGTGTCCCACAAGCAGCAATCACTGTGGTTCGCGTGTCTTCACCGGTTAAGGTATGTCACTTCGCCTCCTGCTCCATGGCCACAGAGACCAAGCAGCAAGGCCTCTTTCGACAGAGGCAACATGAAGGATTACAGTTTCTTAAAACACTCTTTGACTGCGTAAGGTCAGGACTCGGACTCGCGTCGGCTTGGCTCCGACATTTCCTTCTCATGGTGCTCCTCCAACCGTCTCTCCTCTGACCTCCAGTGATCTGGTGTTCCTGTTGTTATGCAGGTACAGAACTTTTTTTAAACTAAGGCTGAAGCTGTGACAGATTTTGTCGATGGCGTCGCGGCATCAGGGGCTGTTTGTTTTTGGGCTTGTTCCCCTGCAAATGTTCAGGCCGCTGGTAATACCCCAAAGATGTCGGACCTTTGCCGAGCGTCCAGTGGAAGGTCGGCGGTCCGGGCGGAGGGTGGCAGATGCCTCTCCTGCGCCCGCGACCTCCGTATCCGGGAATGAGTACCAGGCCCTTCTGGCCACCCTTGTAGCGTCGCACAGCTCCGCGGTCAGTCATCGTGAGAGGTGTAAGTTCTGCCCAGCGGGTATTTGACGATGTTGTTCGAAGAGGATGCACACCTGCATTGCCTCAAATAACAACCACAACTCTCGCTTTTCTCTGTAGGAGGACATGCTCAGCTCCTTATAAATTATCTGGCCTGAGTAGCTCGGTCGTTGCGGAATGTCGGCGGGCATGGCAAGAGACTCTTTCTTGCCTTTGTGCGCAAGCAGTATCAAACCTCTCGGAGATGAGATTAATGAGATAATTGCCTCTTAGAGCCTTGTTATCAAGCGCAGAAAGCAAGTGCTGCTGGCGGGCGTACGAAAACCCAGGAAGCTTCTTCGAGGAGGCGAGACTCCACGGCTTTCATGAAGCGATCACCTGAAAGAGACAGCGCTGTTGAAAGGAAAACTCTTGTGAGCACAATGCAAGTGCTTCAGATGGCTGACATCAGGTTTCCATCCAATTATGCAGCCCGGGCTGCACCACGCACCGGGAACGCCGGTTGCCACCGTGCAGGGTGGGCTTATCTCGGCGGAACCTGTGCACAAGGTTACGCTGGAATGAAGCGCACTCAATGCTCAGGTCTTTCGCTTAAGCTTGGGAAACACCATGTCTTAGTTGTTTAGTTTAGGGTTTTATTTAAGGGAATCCTTTTTTTCGATTTTAAGGCCCAAAGCTAGAATCGATAAGAACTGCAAAGCCACCCAAAAAAAACAGCATCCAGCAAACACGACTTTTCTTTTTCGTACGCGTCGGCTGACTCTGCCGCTGCAGTAGGACAAATCTGGGCAGTACAAACGACAAAAGCACTCTTCCAATTTTTCCGCACTCTCTAACATGACTCACATTGCTGAGTGACACACAACTGGAGGTTCTCAAAGATTGGCTGTGACAACCTGGCCAGCAGCAGTGACTCCAACACTGAAATATGCAAATGTGTCTGTGGCCATCGGCTAGCGAAACCAACACTTGCACAATTCAATCTTTTTGCTCCATGCTGCTCACTTCCTCAGCCCCAACGAGGAAGCCAAAACTGGTCCGCAGCAGACAAGTTCTATGCGTCATTTCTGAACCTTCCGATTCCTTCGTGACCTCCAGAGAGGACGAGGACAAGGACGTGGCATCTTCCTCATTGGGATCTGCTTGCGATTCCTGCGAGGACGAGGAGGAGTACTGGTTCAACAGACGAAGAGCCTGGTCCTCTTCTTCAAGTTCACGGTAAAGCACCTCTTCATAACACATCCTCAACCGCTGTGCGCTCGGCCAGTCCTAAGTTGGTCAATTACGATTCAAAACGAATCTCACAGTACAAGAATAGTAATAAACACAATTTTTCAAGCAGGTCACTGACTGGCTCAGATACGCAACAACCCGCCGCGCCGCAGCTTCTCTTGGCTGTATACACACCGTGCTTTCGCATGAACTCGACTGCCTTCTCATTGAATATACACGGGGACGGCGCGAGGCCACAGCGAGGACCGGCAGCGAGGGCGAGCTGAGAGTTCTAGTTTCCGTTCAAAGTTCTGTTCACTCCTGTATTTTAATTTCATATCACCTCGTCTCTTTCGGATGTGACAGCGACAGCATCACGCATGACAAATGACGACAACACATCTGATCTGCTGTGACAGGCCACAGCCATGCAAACAATCAGAATCACCAGCAGGCATTGCCCAACGCAGGCAGCGCTAGCAAAATGGAAGAAGCACCGTCTCTTTGGAAGGACGGGGTCGAGTGCCAAAGCGAGGGCAGCCACAAGCAGGCCTCAACTCCAACACCCACTGAAGCCGACGGGTTGATGCATTCAGATCATTGGGACCCGTGGCAGAACACGGGCCTGTCAGTCAATGACAATGACATCGACTACACAACCCGAGGCAAGGCAAATCCATCTGAGAACTCGGGCGCCGGCGGCCTGGCTTGTCAACGGGAAGCCTGGGCTGGGTACATCAAAAGCACTGTTGGTGCCACGCGAATCGGAACTGCAGCCGTTTTTTTGCCTTTCCACAAACGATTCAAGCAAGGAGTGTTGGACACTGAATCCAGCGAGGACGAAGACCAGTAAGCGGGCGAGGGCGATGACAAAAACCCGAGTATCATGTCACTCTGAGTTGTGGGAATCACTCATATCTGACACTTCGGCCACCTTCTCGACGAGCATCCGCTGAAGACCAGAGAGGGCTTTGACCTTCCTGTTAGACAGGCAGCAAGATTCAGACAGACAGATTGACACACGGAATCTGAAACCAAGCCAGTCCTCCTCCGATCCATGTCTGCCATCAGCTGTTGAAGACTCGTCATTGTCAACATCGCCACACGGAGCTCGCCGTCGAGGACGGGGGCATTCTCTGCCATCTTGAGGACAAGCTTGAAGGCGGTTTTGGTGATGGGGCTGGTCGAGGGCAGAGCACATGCAGTAGGACACTGGAGCCGAGCTGTCCGTCGTCCATTCTGTCGCCAAATCCTGGTGGGCAGACAACTGACAATTTATGAAAGTAGCGCATGACCGCTGCTTTCATGTACTCTTGATGTGATTCCAGCCTTCGTGGACTTCATGGCAGTCGCTCACCAGCAACACTCCTACTGAGTTCTCGTCCAGGTTGCAGATTGTTTCAAGCGCGTGTGCAAACGGTCCGGGAGCGCCCGGAACAGAACACAGCCGTCCTTCATGTCATTGACCTTCTTTCCGGCCGCGTTGGCCTTGCATGTACTCGTCGAGGCCATGGACCATGGATGGGGGTGAAGCAGGCTATTCGCCAGTCCTCATGAACTACCTCTTTGTAGACCGGAATGTGAAATCGCCATGCCAGCTCCGAGTTCGGGCATGTACTTGTGAACGTGGCCTTTTCCACAGTCGCTGCGGCAGCTCTGCTGATCGGGACCTAAAAGTCTGCTGTCGAGGGCGACGGACCGCCGAAGTGCACTGTGTCCGCCGCAAGCCTGCCGTTGCAAGGGCGGAACAGCCGCAGGCCATCCTGTGTCCTAACTGTCAGCTTCAGCATGACCATGTTGCGTGGAAAATCGCTCAAGCCTGCCGGACGCCTGACAAGCCCTCCTTCATCTTAAAGCGGTGCCCCTCCAGTGTGGCTGTGTCCTCGGCAGGCGGTAGTTTATATTTCACATTAAAAGCAGAACCAGCAAAAGCAGCAGGAGTAGGAGTAGTAGTTGTGTAGTAACAAAGTGTGATTGGTGCTTTTATTCTAGTGGCAGTAGAAGTATTAATACTATGATTATTATTAATATTAGTAGTAGTAGTAGTAGTAGTAGTAGTAGTAGTAGTAGTAGTAGTAGTAGTAGTAGTAGTAGTAGTAGTAGTAGTAGCAGTAGTAGTAGCAGGAGTAGTAGTGGTAGTAGTAGTAGTAGTAGTAGTAGTAGTAGTAGTAGTTTGTAGTATCGCTAGCGGTAGGGGTGGCGGTAGTGGTAGCTGTAGTGATAGCGATAGTGCCGGTGGTAGTGGTAGTGGCAGTAGCAGTAGCAGCAGCAGCAGCAGCAGTAGCAGTAGCAGTAGCAGTAGCAGTAGCAGTAGCAGTAGCAGTAGCAGTAGGTAGCAGTAGCAGTAGCAGTAGCAGTAGCGATAGCAGTAGCAGTAGCAGTAGCAGTAGCAGTAGCAGTAGTAGTAGTAGTAGTAGTAGTAGTAGTAGTAGTAGTAGTAGTAGTAGTAGTAGTAGTAGTAGTAGTAGTGGTAGTAGTAGTAGTAGTAGTAGTAGCAAGTAGTAGCAGTAGTAGTAGTAGTAGTAGTAGTAGTAGTAGTAGTAGTAGTAGTAGTAGTAGTAGTAGTAGTAGTAGTAGTAGTAGTATAGTAGTCGTCATTCCAACGCGGACTCAAAGTGCTCGAGTACAGTGCAGACACTCACGCACGC